AATCAGCAATTTTTTTTTCCGTGCGGATGTGCACTAACCCTATCCCAATGCGCCTTCTAGGTTGCAGAATCCTCAAATGGATTTAAGACTTCAAGTGTAACTTGGATTTCTTAGAGGATTCCTCTATTAAAAATGGAAAGAAAAAATAATCGGAATTCTTTAGGGAACGAACTTTCGCCAGGATTTCCGCTTTTCCGCTCCCTTTTTTCCTCCGTTTGAGGTTAATAATTCTACGAGCATTTTAAAGACATGCAGGACTGCTGGAGGCTCCCCACCTAGCTTGTCCGAGGTGCTAATTATTTACATGCGGAATACGAAACTTAGCAAGAGCCCCTGTTCAACAAGACCGCACTGCACAGCAGGCCGTTGGCGGAAAAATATCAGGTTTCTCCCGTCCGCGCTAACGTCCAAGTGGAACTTTTGAGATTCCAGCGGACATAACAGTCGCGTCTCCAATTTCCCGCTCGTAAACTCCCAACTCCTGGAGTCCTGGCTCCGCAGTGGCGTGGCGTGAATGATCGATTATCGATGTCTCGCCATTTGAAGGCATGGTAAAGAATCGATTACTAAGGTGTTCGCTGCGAACACCCTGATAATCGATCTTTTTTCATAGGTTTGAGTAGCGTATCAATCGATATATCGCAAAGCACGCCACGCCACTGCTGGCTCCGGGCTCCTCACTCAAGACTTAGGACACCGGCTCCCGGCTCATAGTCCACGTTGTATTCTGGCGTGCTAAGGAAAAACGCCGTATAAACATGCGAGAGTTGCCAAAGTTTCAGTAGCCAAAGTTCCAAAGTTCAGAGCCGGTAAAATGTTCATTTTTGAGGAAAGTTATGAATATTTTTTCGATAAATTCTCAAGAACTTGAGGTAAAATTGCAAACGAAATTATCTGAAAAATTGGAAGAAAAATCTGTCCAAAGACAATCTTTATCTTTCCTACCAGGTGGATGCTGAGCCTCGGGTGACGTAATAAGTCAAACAAGTTTACTGAACTTCGGTATATTTGCCGAACGAAATTCTCAACTCGCTGTCCAGCACCCACCTAGTGGGTAAGTCGACAGCTCAACGTTGGAGTCCCAAAAGTAAAAATTTCCACCATTCCCAAGATACTAATAATTGAGGGTCTGTTGCCTCGAGTTAGGTTAGTTAGGTAAGAGCCCAACCGAAAGAGAAGTGACCGACTGACTACATATCGATAAAAACATTACTTTTATTGATTAAAATAGAAAGTGAGACACAAACCATCACAAATTTTGTGTTGATTTTGGTACAGTTAGCGGCGAATTTAGCGTACAAAGCAATGGCGGGACTGGGAAGATGCATTCCTCCAATTGCGACGTTGATATTCACCATCTGCTTTTTTTATCATATTTCTTCAAGTAAACTAGCTGGCATTGTCTCGTGAAATTTTCAACCAAAGGCTACGGTTATTTCGTGTTTCACGTCCCGCATAAACCAAACTTCCGTGTTGAAATTTCTCTCTGTTTACCCGTTTCCGTCATTTTTATGGGTCCATTCGGAGTTATTTCAACTTTTCTGATTATACACGCCGTCTGGCAGCGCGGTTAAGGTTTCAACTCCTTTAAGTAGATTAGAGGCTCAGTCACGCGTTGCTCCGTCAAGTGTCGCAATTGATTGAAGTTGCAGTGCCGAGCCGGTAAGGTGGTCTCCCGGACACCGCCGCACTGATTTCAACTCACCGCCGCGCGCCGTGCCTGCAGCATAGCATACATTTCAGCCATTGCAACGGACATTCCTCTCAAAATGACTGGGACTAATGGCCTCACAGGGTACATACCATCAGTCAAACCATACTCTGTTCCGTTTCGGAGCTTCTTCAATCATTTGACAATGTAGATGTTGCATGTGTAAGGAATTTGCGATTTGACTGTTGATTCTTATGTAAAAGTTCGCGAGAAACACGATGGTGCCACTGGTTTTTCTCTGAAATTAACTCCCAGACTCAAAAAAAGCTCTCAAGTTGAGGCCAAAATGGAGGGGATATCCCACGCTATCCTGAGAGTCCACCTCTACATTAAAACAAACTCTCCATGCAAAGATCGGGAGCAAATACATTGACAGGGTTGCCGTGTTTTCAGTTTTGGAGCCCCCAAATAAAGTGGCAGCCCTGTCAATGTATTCGCTCCCTATCTTTGCATGGAGAGTTTGTTTTGATGTAGAGGTGGACTCGCAGGATAGCGTGGGATATCCCCTCCATTTTGGCCTCAACTTGAGAGCTTTTTTGAGCTTGGTAGTTGATTTCAGAGAAAACCAGTGGCACCATCGTGTTTCTCGCGAACTTTTACGTTGGAATCAACAGTCAAATCGAAAATTCCTCACACATGCAACATCTCCATTCCCGATCACGCTGCCAGCCATCGCGCCTTCAATTTTGCGGACGCAACACGGGCATCCATCAAACACGAATAGTTGTATCTCCGCGCCGTCATCAACATGCATCCTTTCCCGTGCTTAATTTCCATATTGTGATCTCATTTGTGGCGGTGCATTGAGGGGGCTACTTGAGCAACTACGCCGAAGATCGACTTGATTAATAGGGCTCCGTTTTTTATTTAACTTTTTTCCTAAATCTAAGCGACACTTCAATAGCAGCATAGATCGGGGCATTGCGATTGTGCGCCTTGCACCTTCGCGCCTTCAATTTTGCAGATGCAACACTGACGTCCATCAAACACGAATAGTTGTATCTCTGTGCCGTCACCAACGCTCAACCTTTTCCGTGACAGTAAAACAGACGTAACTCAATTATACAAAGAAGGTTTTTTTATTATTATTATTATTATTATTATTATTATTTTTTACTTTAAAGACTTAATTGAATTCATCTTGAGAAATAATGTATTAAAAAAAATATTTATATATTCATTCAATATTTTGTCTATATTCGAACTATCGCGGAATTTGAAATAAGTGAAAACATCAGCTTGCGTATTTTACACGGTAGAATACGGCTAAGTTGCTAACTCATTTTCGCCAACATTATCAGTCAGTCTGTATTTCTCCTCAGCCATCGATACTCCAATCGAACCGCACCTTTTCCGAAATTCCGAAAACAAGAAACACCCCCAGCCGGCGAGTGGGCTCCGCGCGGCGGCGTCGGTGGGCGGATTTCACCGAAACTCGGTTTATAGGAAGCGTCTCGTTAACTCGCTATCAAAGCGTTAACTGCCCTCTTCCGGCTCCAGCCCCGGGGGGGGGGGGCTGCCGGGTCCAAGCTCCAGCAGCGCCCGCCCGCGCCCCCTCGCGACGGGTGTCAAGTCCGGCTCTTGACGCTCGACGGATCCTCGTGTCTAATCAAGACATCACACTTCGCCCTCGTCGTCGCACAGCGGATCGGGTCAATGGGAGAGGTCGGACAAAATTCGGAAACGTTAAAAGCTCACTGGAAAAAAAACCACATTGGATCTAGAGTCCAGACTCTTGGAAACATTCGCAAGAAAAAATACTCTTGATTCAATCAGATTTAAGCTTAAATCAAAAGGAAATCCGCTCGAATTAAGAGACTTGGTTCTTGATTTAAGCAAAAATCCGATTGAATCAAGAGTATTTTTTCTTGTCGATGTTTTTAAGAGTCTGGACTCTAGATCCAATGTTTTTTTTTCCAGTGCTCATAACTCCGTTTATACAGAACTTTGAGGTTTTAAAAGTGGCTCCATTGGCTTTCTCGTGAAATTTGCGACCAGGAGCACCCCCTAAAATTTAAAATGTGACGGACTAAACATATAAATGTGTAGTTTTAGTAAAAAAATTCGTGTCCGACTTCTTTAATTGGCTTGAGCCACTGTGCGCCGGTGCCGCCGGAGCACGGTGAACTGGTGGAGCGTGTTTAAACGGCCATTCGCTCACTCTTTTTCGTCGAGAAGAACAATTGGACTACATTTTGTAATTCTAATGTAGGTACCTACAAAAGCACCTATGTGCGTTGGGAAACTAATGCGGCATAAATTGTTTGTGTAATCAGCCCAAAATTTGTGCTCCCTTTTGCAGCACGTAGTCTAATGGGTCAGTTGTGCTAGTCGCAGAATCGTGTTTTAATGTTTTATTCTTGCAGATCAACTAAACATAAGGAGGTCTGTCCAAATAGCAACTTTCTACGTTGAAAATTAACCGAGATATCGCGCCTTGAAAAACTCGATTTATGACGTCACCCACCGCGGTACAGTACCTACATTATGTGTTCCATGATGTAACACATATCAGCGCCTACAAGACTGCACGAATACTTCACGCATTGCATCAAATACAGTGCGGTCATTGCGGTCAGCGTGAAACGCATGGCGCCTTCAAAACTGCGTGAATACTTCACGCATTGCGCCAAACACGGAGCGGTCTGCGCGGCGCGGCGGCGGAAGTTAAACTCATTAAACCACATTCATGTTTGTTCTTTCATAATTTTTTCGTTCATTAATCATGAATAGAAGGCCGTGTCCACAGAGAGATATGTTTACAAAACTTAACTTTCGCTAGTACTGTTTACAGGGCATCCCCAAAAAATGTGTTCAGCACGAGTAAACGCGTCTTATGCACCCCTCCCTCGCTGGCACGTTCACTTGATGGTTTTTATTGATGTTTCAATACGAATGAGAAGGGGGCGGCAAAATACAGGCGGCCCATGGGCGGCAAGAAGGTAAATCCGGCCCTGTATAGAGAATTATGTCATTAAAAATTCTCATCATAGTGAGCAGTTTCAGGGAAATTACTCATTATCTGTCTCTGTATTTTTCTCAGCTCTTAACTGCTTTCTTCATGGCGTCGAATTGCTTTCCATAATTTGTGACCTCACTTAAATTGCACCAAGCACATATCTAGTCAGTTGTTTATTTTCGCGTTCTATTTTTATTTCGCGAAGTATTTCTACACATAGGTATGTTCATAATTTATCATAATATTTTTGTCTTCTATTTTTAAATTTTTCATTTTCAAAGTAAATCATTTTCACACCATTTATTTAGTATCGTCTATGATTTGTTGCAGAGATCTCAGCGGGAACAGTATCACTGTAATTCATGGATCAGCATTTGAGGGTCTCTCCAACCTGAAAAATCTGTAAGTTTCATGTTATTTATCGCTGTTCATTATTTCTTCTATGTCGTCCGTAGTTGTAGCACTCGCAAGTTTTTCTTCCCCCTCAATGCGTTAAGTAAATTCTGTTTCTATTCATCTGCACTGAGCTTGTTTCGTTACATCCGAAATCAGGGTGCCGAGCAACCCAGAAAATCCGTGAGATCGGAAGAGATTATCCGCGAAAACTATAGGGAAAACATCATGCCTTTCGCAAAGAAAAATCTTTGATTTCTGAAATTGTTTTGGAACTATCAAGATTTTGCATTCGGGTTTGAGAAAGCCGGAAAATGTTTCCCCATAAGTGTTTGAAATAGCTGAAGTGTTTGAAACTGATCAAAAATTATAAAAGAACGCATAATCCTTCGCTTTCGCATACATTCTCTTAGTTTCAAAGTCTTAATCCTTAGAAATGCTAATGCCTAAAGCTATGTCGGCCCTATATTAATTAATCTTTCAAATGCATAGGTTGGCAGCAGCACTTTTCTGGCTATTTTCGTTTTTCACGTTGTCGCCTTTTTGGGCCTTAAGAGCTATACATAAATCGAGTTGTCCATACTCAGTTTAGTTATACATTATACACTGGGAAAAAAAATACATTGGATCTAGAGTCCAGGCTCTTAAAAACATCTACCAAAAAAAAGTACTCTTGATCCAATCAGAATTTAGCTTAAATCAAGAACCAAGCCTCTTAATTTCAGTGGATTTCGATTTGATTCAAGCAAAAATCCGATTGAATCGAGTATTTTTTCTTGTCAATGTTTTCAAGAGTCTGGACTCCAGATCCAATGTTTTTTTTTCCAGTGTACAATAAAACGAAAAATTGATGAACTCTCGAGCATAGATCTCTTCGTCAGTCGTCGAATTTACTAAATTTACATTCGGAAGTTGAGAGGAACAAAGGAGGCAACCCAGGGAAACACGTCTGGAAAACAGAAGCGGCTTTAAAAATAAAATCGACACCCATTTGGCTCGAGGAGGAGACCAGTCACGAAACCAGACATCAATCATCGGGCAGCGCCAGGACTTGCTTCTTGCTCCACAATTTGATTGATTCCTTCAAATTTGTTCGGAGGGCGTGGAAGGCTCGGGAAACGGCGCCAATCTGTTTGAAGTCTGGCTCAAAATAAATTCAGGTTGGAAGTGTTGTTAGTTGTTTCAACGGACAAACTAATGCAAGAAGCTGAGGGCTGCATTGGTCGCTCAAGAAGAAGAATCTTTTTCCGAACAGGCTCTTTCGTACTAAGAAAAGAACACTGGGAAAAAACACATTGGATCTAGAGTCCAGACTCCTGAAAACATTGACAAGAAGAAATACTCTTGATTCAATCAGATATAAGCTTAAATAAAAAAGAAATCCGCTCAAATTAAGAGGCTTGGTTCTTGATTTAAGCTTAAATCTGATTGAATCAAGAGTATTTTTTCTTGTCGATGTTTTTAAGAGTCTGGACTCTAGATCCAATGTGTTTTTTTCCAGTGTGTGGTTTGCACTATAATTTAGAGAGTGACATCCGAATGATGAGAAAATTTTGAAAATGTATCGCAAGTCAAATTCATTCATGGTTTAGTGATGCATTCGGCAACGTTTGTTGGGGGTTAGCTGCCGTGTTACAGGGGCATAAATCAGCGGACGGCGACATGGTTACGTGGAGATATGCATGCTCGCATCAGTTTTGTTTCACCGATAGCACCGACTGCCCGCGCATATTAAATCAAACGCCTGCTACATCGGAGGGCGGAGGATGAGTTTTTCATCTCCGTGCCAAGCGCATGCGCAGTCCGCGGTCCAGGCCCCAAGTTCCCCCGTCGAGGATTTTCAAGACTTCTGGACCTACGCGACTTCGGGTCCGCAATCCTGAATTAGAGTCCCTTTATACACGGAGAAAAAAACTTCGTGAGTGCCCGAAGTTTAGGTCATATGGATCTCTGAAGTTTTCGGATTGTGCATTCGAACACTTAAGGTCCAGCTGCTGAGGTTTGGATCACACATCTGAAACTTCAGTTCTTACATCTGAAGTACTTCGGTTTTCACATCCGAACAACTTCGGTTCTCACATCCGAAAAACTTCGGTTCTCACATCTGAAGTACTTCAGATGTAAGAACTGAAGTTTCAGATAAGTGATCCGAACCTCGACAGCTAGACCTTAAGTGTTCAGATGCTCAATCTGAAAACTTCAGAGATCGATATGACCAAACTTCGGGTCCCACGCACGAGGTTTTTTTCTCCGTTTACTGAGAGTCAAGACAATGTGAATCATTTTCTAATTGCTTCCCGTATATTAGGCCTCCACAGTGTCATGAACGGGAATAAATATTGCATTTTCACCGATTGCAAAGATTATAATCTAGAATGGACCTAGGAATAACGGGTTCGACAAGGAACAAACGGAATGAGAGAAGGAACGGAGAAGGGAATTTGAGAATGAGCCGATCAATGATTACGAAATACTGCCAATTTGTATAATCTTTATTCCCGTTTGTGACTCCATGAGGGGAAGGGGGTTGTCTTGAGTCTCAGTATAAAGGAACTCTATCCTGAATCATTGGTCAACCAACGCATAGGAGGAAATTTTCGGAAATATCATGACCGAAATTTTGTGTCCTTCTGAAATTGTCCGATAACTGAATTGAGGGGTATCGATAAGGATCATCTCTGAGCTCATCTTAGCTGAGTTTCCTTCATTCCACGATTTCTTGCTCTTTGAAGGTCTATTTTTTACGGATTTTATCATGATTCGGTTATTTTTGGTCTCTTTCCAGGCCTAACACAGGCTAACCTTGGGATAGAAGGCCAATTTTGGCGGAAAATACGGAGTTTTTGGCATTCGGCAGCGTATCCGCAAACCCTGTATCAGGCTTCAGACTCTGCCTTATAAATTAAAAACATCACGATTTTACCCCTCGATTTCACAACTACGTCCCCTATGACTGCCCGCGAAAGAGTCGAACCCCTGCAGAAGCAAAGACCGAATACAACCTGTCATAAACACCAGGTTCTTACCACGATCGCCCTGCGACACAGCTCAAACTGTACCTCTATGAGCGGGAGGGATGCAGGGATGGAGGTAGGCGTACAAGCGAAAGGAAACAGAACGTGGTCCAGACAGAGAGGTAAAACCAGGACAGGGACAGTCAAAGGGCGCCCCACCGTAATGAGGGATTGAAGGCTGTATAGAGTGTTTTTGAACGTCCAGTGTTTTGTATGTTTTCGTGCCGGTGGACCAGCAGGCAAAATGACTGTAGCGTAGCACATGCTTTTTAAGTAATTGCGGCAGGACAAAAGCTGCTTCTTGTTTTCCCAAGGTGCCTGCAAGTCCAGAATTTCCGGAAAGTCCGGAAATAATACTGACTTTTCAAGGGCGGTCCGGAAGTACTGAAAAAGTGCGGAAATTTTGCAAGAAAGTCCGAAATGTTTTTCATTTTTGTCGCAATTTGAGCGGGAATTTTGTCAGTTGAAGGTATTGAAAAAGAGCTGAATTTTTCTGTTGAGGAGGCACTGAATTTCCTGGGAATGTACTGAAAAAGTACTGTAAAAGTACTGATTTTTGGCCGGCCTGTTTTAGTAGACATCTGCAGCGATAGTGCAAAAGCAAAATGTACAATAACTTGAGTATCGTATCTAGTGCGCTTCTATCGTCGCCGATGTACTTTCAGTCACAATGTCCTCTCTCTCGAAGGTACGTTTTAGCAATTCAGACTTGAAAAGAATCTAAAGAAAATATCTAAATACTAATTTTAAAAAGCTTTCTAACTGCTTAATTTTAGAAAAACTTAAAAATTCAATGTATTTGACGCGACTTTCTCCAAAATACGAGCTGTTCCTTGGCGTAACCCTATCATATCAACGGAGGAACGCGACAAGAGTTTTGGAACACGCTGTATGCGGCGGGTGGGAAGCCGATGTCATCCGTGTAGCGCCGAGCCACCTGCATCTGATGGATTATGTAACAAGGGTTAATCCGTGCGGAATTAGGGTTAACCGTGTGTTTGAACTCGGTTCCCGCCTTTGTCTCGGGGGACCCCGCCGCGGGAGGGTGAGGGGGTGGGGGTGGGGGGCACACTTGCTACCTCCGAGTGACATTTTCCACGGAGCTTCCCGAGGTCGCGCGCCGTCGCGTCGTTTCTCGTTAATTTTTTAATCGGGATCCGAGCGCGGCGAGGCTATTAACACCTGAGTGTGCGGCCCGGGATTTCAAAGTTTTCGAATTTAATGGATTTAATCGGAATCAGTCTGACTGGATTTCACGTTGCCTCATTTGTAGAGGAGTTAAAAGAACCCTGGAAAAAAGTCCCTTGGATCGAGAGTCTAGATTATTAATAATATTGGCATACATACAGAGAAAACTGGCAAAACAGAGAAAAGCAAATACAGGAACGTGGAAGTTAGCCGTTCGATTTGACAAACTGATCGCAATACTTTGCGTTTGCACTCCGTTAGCTGTTTTTAGCGTTTACAAAGTGGCTCGTATTTTACACATCAAACGGGTGAAATTGTACCGATATCGCTTGGTTCAGCATGTAAATATAGCCTCAAAAGTCAATTTAGAAATCTGAGGGAATGGGTCTTTTGTGATAGATTTTTTATTCATTTGAGCATCAAATGCTAATGAAAAGTATAATTGTGAAAAATTTTCCCATGTCTATAGCTTTTCCACCTGAAATCCTTAAATTTTTGTTTGAGGTTATGTTCTATTGCTTTATACCAAACGATACATCGAACCACTATCGAATGCGGTCTATAATTTGTGCGAGTAGAAACAGCTGAAACGTGCCTCCAGGTGGTATATATTAATTTTTTACCCAAAATTAAAAGGGGAAAAAAATTATTTCAGTTCAACATGTCCGAGATCTCAATTTATCTTCAATTCCGTCCCGCTTTACGAGACCACATTCCGACGAGCTTTTAAATTCCTGTAGCTTTCATGATAATACCGTTCACGGCGATGACTTTTCACAATCGCCCGCCACCCGCCCGCGGCTACGT